CGAATGTTTCGAGAACAAGAAATGGAGAATTCAGAAAATATGCGATATAATGTCGTAACGTGTCCCGAACGTCAGAAATAACACTGATTTTTTTTCATTATAATAAAGGTTTTAAAGGTGGCAATAACATAGGTTTTTCAATCGTACATAAACGATAATCTCAACAAGCCAGATATCAATGAGAAATGTTGCAATTTTCCGCTGTCTTGGAATTAATTCTACTCCCAAAAATGGCCTGCCGCCCGCATGGGAATAAGTGGACAAATATGTGACCATTTCAATCTGCTTGTATACTTTCTGCATACCACCTTTTACAAAAGTACACATAAAAGTGTCATTTCGATATACTTATTTCCATGCGGGCGTAGTTAAAAGATGTCAAAATTACTGATACCAACAGTCGACCGTAAATTTAAAGTTCACAATTTAAACTACACTATGAAATGGTTCGGCTAGCTGTTTTCGTTGTTGGCACACCATATGATATGCGTGTTGTCACAACTATATTTTGATGATTGTGGGGGGGAGAGCAGCCAGGCGGGGTGGAGGTCGGAAGCCAGGGCAGCCCCGGGGCCGAGCCGGGCACAGCCGGGCCGGTGCAGCAACTGGCCGCCCGGAGGAAAATAAAACGAAAATAAACCAGAGGTAAACAAAGCTGCACAGGACGTCCAGGAGGCGGGCGCTGCTGCATCGACTTTCAAGCAGGTATTTCGGGCTCCAATCAAAATGATTTGCAATTGAACGGTGAAAAAATATCGTTGTAAATTTACAAAAAATTTGTAAACTCGAGTTTTAATTTCAGTTGTAAATTTACGAGAGCATATTTCACTCGCCAATGGATTTTAAGTCGATACGTACTGCATGTATTTTTACGATTACAAATTGTAATTTTACAACTTGTCAAGGAAATTTTTCCTGTACTGCAACTTTTTCCGTGTCCAGGCCGCAATACACGCATTATTTTGCACCCCAAAATATCCTTTCTTATTTTAAATACATTGATCTTGCAAGTAGATATGTGCTCGGGGTTTGCACGGGTTCATTTTTCAATTGGAACAGTGCGAAAATGTTATTCGAACATTACTGACTGTTTGGGTTTTGGCGTAATTCACTTACACAAATAGCCTTATTTTTCAGGAAAACAGCATACGCCCATAAACCAAAAACATATTTGGCAAATGTCCAATATTACCCAAACCATGGCTCTCGGGTATATAATTTTGTTTTGCAGCAAAAAAACAAAGCAGCACTAAATCATTGCATAGTAAATAATTGGTCTAAATTCAATCAACACATTCAGAGGAAACCAGTTTTAAATCCCTCCTGTACTTTTGGGGGGAAAATGGTATGGTATATGTCTTCCAGAAAGGCACAGAAATATACTTGACTCAAGAAATGATTTATCTGGGTGTGTAAAGTCATTCGTGTGTCCCTTAAGTAATGGCCAGCACACCAAATAAAGGAAGCAAAACCTTAACCACAGAAAGGGAGAAAAAAATCGCGAAAAGCACCATAACAAAATCACCTTACAATGTCATGCGCACGCAGAAAGGGCAAAGTTGAATGCCATTGTACGAGGACTATAACGGCACTTAATACAACGGTGGAGTTCCTGACCCCACCGTGCGTATGGCTTAGGTTGGTCAGGGAGGGTGCCGTGGATGGTTGGGAACCCGTCTCTCTTTTTCTCTCACTCATTCCTAGAGTAAAGTCGGTGCTCCTATATCCCTTACAGCAGTTCGCAAAACAAAAACAACGGCATGGGTTCATCCAAAACACTCCCCTCGGCATCTGATCGTTAAAGAAGAGGACGACCCCACTCCCCCCAATCTGTCCGGCATGAATATTTGAGGATTCCCCTTACCGCCCCCACTCCCCCCCCCCCCCACTTCCAGCGTCCTTACGGAATCCAATCACTGTAATACGTCCGGCGGGACTGGCCTGGCCGGCGAGCTGCGTTCCTCACGGAGAAAGCATTAATGGCTCCCAGCGCATCAATATGGGACGAAGGGCACCTCGCTGCGCAGTGCTGCTGCTGCTGTGGAGGCCGGGTGGCCTTGAGGCAGGGCCGGGCAGGGCCTCGCTTGGCCCGGGGCGTCCCCGCGCCGCCGCCCCAGCACGCCTGCAGCGCAGCACCACCGTTGTGGCTGCGTTCGCCTGGCGGGGTGGCCCGGCCGTCCTGATAAGACCGCGCGATACTTGTCTTGCCTGAACGTGGTCACGTGTCGTGATCGTGAGTGATTCCTTGTTGAATAGTGCCCCTGATGGAAACATATTCCCCCCGGGGGGGTATTTTGACTTATAGTAATGCATGTCATATTACAGCCGTCTTACAAACGTACTTTACCCCACGTTAGTGCCTTAATCACAAGGACTGCTATGACGTCGCAACGGAGCTGAAAGCCGGACAGCCCCCGCCCCCTCTCCCACCCTTTTCCCCCCCTTGGCGCTGTCCTGGTTACACTCGGTGAAGTGCCCGAGCTTTGAAGCCGAGCCCGAGCGGGGGTCCTCAAACCCCCTGCTCTACAGAGGCCGGGCAGAAGCAGGGCTCAATGCCCGTGCTCTACTCGAGAACAAACGCTTTGCCAAAGTTACCTGGCTGTTACTGGAAGTAAATACAAGGGAAGTAATCGTCTCGCTTTTGCAGCCCCGTGTTTGCGGAGCGTCTGAGTACGCCCTGCTGGATGGGCGGGGCGGGGCGGGGCGGGGCGCACTCAGGCGCGGGCCAGCAAGGGGTATACGACGGTGCGCCTTGGAAATGTCATTCCCTCGCAACAGCACACTCTCTGCGCAGCTTATAAGCACAGCCGGTGGTGGAAGTTAATGTTTTAAAAAAATTCCACGCCGGTGTGAACGTACACCTAGCATTACCTTTACCCTGCAAGGTACGCATACATACGCTGGGCCCGGGTGTGTGTGCACGGCGGATTACTTCAACCACGCTCGCTCCCTCGCCGCCACTCCCTCCAGGGGCCTGGGGGTTGTTGTTGGGGCCATTCCACGTCTTCGTGTGCAGGACCATACTATTCCTGTGGGGGAAAAAAAACAACAACATAAAATTAAAGGTTTGTTGGCAGAGTTGCTTGGTATTCCGCTGTAGCAAAGTTTCGATGATTCATCAGAAAGCTTGGTGGGTCTATAACTAATGTACATGTGTAAGTTAGATAAGTTTTCTTCATCTAGCTCTAGCTCTCTGTTGGACACCCTCAACAGACAGTGCTGATTCTTAGAGTTACTGTGAAAATACAACAGGTTGTTGCAGCGACGTGACGACAACCCAGAAAATGGTAACTTAAAGCAACCACCCTTCTTGCAAGAAGACCATTGATAACCATACAAAATATCGTTGAGCTAACACTCACAGGGGTACAACAACGATGGAAATGGTTCGGCTAGCTGTTTTCGTTGTTGGCACACCATATGATATGCGTGTTGTCGCAACTATATTTTGATGATTGTCCCTGGTCTACCTACCATGCGGTGGGTGTCTCTGTTTTCGTTTTTATTGGTGCATGCTCTGATTATCCCTGCTGAGTGTCTGGTCTAAACGATCCAAAGGGGTTCGTTTTAAAAACAACATAGGGATGCATTCATCCCGAAACTTTTGCAATAACATGAAGCGCAAAAAGTTCCGTGCGCCTGTGTCGCGAATTCCACAGGTGACGATGACGCTGCTTGCTTGTTCTCACCAACACCTTACAGCTCCATACCAAACGGGATGGTTTCTTTCGCTTGTTTGCTCGAAAGATGTGCATCTTCACGACATGAGCGACTCAAGCAGCAGGCGGGCACAGGAGCGGAGGTGAGGTATGCGTTGCACGGCACCGCCCCACCCGCCCTCGCGCGCGTCCACAACACACACTGAAAAACAAGACATCATCAATCCATCAACCTCTCGTTTTGTGACGCGGAGCCACTTGCCTCGCGCGCGACGCGACCCACGCCTTCCAGGAGAATTTTAGGTTCGAATGTTTTTTCCAGAAACGTTGGAAACTTTTCCAGAAAAAAAAATGGGAAACGAACTGAAATATTTCCAACAATATTTGAAAAGAGTCAAGCTGTTTAGGAAAAAAATCAGACATTAAAAAATAGCTTCTTGAAAATTTAGCCAAAAAATTTCTCTGACATATTTACACATTCCCTGCGGCTAATTTTTAGTGCCTATGATTTAAATCGGAGCGTGACCACAAAGTGGTCACGCCTCATATGGAACGTGTGAAAGCCCCCAAGTACGCCTACCTCACGCCCTTGAAGAGGTGTTCCAGCGGTCAGGGAAGACCAACGCGAAGGGGTCACCGCGACCGGAATCCCTCACCCCCTCGTTTCGTTTGTTTTTGTCCGCGTCGCCATATCGCGAGAGCGCGTAGTACAATGGCGCTGACGCTTGGGCCCCTGCCCAATACGGTCGCGCGATCCGACACGCCGCCAGGCTATCGGCGCGATAGTTCGTTCGTACCCGATTATTAATTGCCGCGAGATCACCCGACAGCCGCGGCGTCAGAGCGACCCCCCGGCTGAGGGGAAGCGCCTGTTTGGGCAACGACAGACGCGGGACGCGCGCGCGCAGAGTCGCAGGCTGCTGGGCGCGCACATCGCGCGCTAATCGTCATCCAATTGTTCAGGAAGAAAATTTGACGGGAGGCTGTCATGAGGAAACTCAATCAGTGTCGCGGGGACGAGCCGGCGTCGACGTCGTCACCAGGTCGTCACGGTAGCGTGGTGGAGGACCACGTGACGGGCCTACGGGCCTTGTGGGCTTCAAGATCATCGAACCGGGCAGGCAGCGGGCGCGTGGTGCTGCTCGGGATCCAGCTCCAGCAGCAGCTCAAACGACCGGTCAGGAACTAGGGAAAAGAGAAGACCGCAATGAAATGGTCCAGTTTTCCCGAAAGGTCAAAAGGAGTCCCCTTCTACGGCTCGGCCCTATACCAACCGAGGCCTCGATCCTCCTCTAGCGTATCTTATAATGAGGTTCGTCAACTCGATTTTTTTTTGTCGTGGTTGTGTTGTTACACAAGAGGCAGGGGTTTTTAAGTATTCACAGACGACATTGACAATCTCGCCAATTTAGCAAAAAGAAAGGAGAAAGAGTAATACCATACAGTTAATTAATTTCAAACAAATAAAAACAACTTCAGCAAGAAATTGTCGACCGTGTAGAAAATAGATTTCGATAGTTTGTAAATCTATGCTCTCTTTTAGTTAGAGGGTGGTAGATAGATCGATAGATACTGGAAAACGAAAGGTAGGTTTAGTGCCTTTGAAAGGCACAAAAAAGTCTCCAAAGCAGGCAGTAAAAGAATACCTTCGGCGCATTTTCGTGCGTTTCTGGGAGTGCAAACTCCAATAGGGTGTTGATTCCTGCCTTTGTTTTTTCAGTGTAGTGCAGTCGACATTCAAAAGTTGAGACCACACCTATTCGAGACGAATGTTTCGAGAACAAGAAATGGAGAATTCAGAAAATATGCGATATAATGTCGTAACGTGTCCTGAACGTCAGAAATAAAACTGATTTTTTTCGTTATAATAAAGGTTTTTAAGGTGGCTATAACATAGGTTTTTCAATCGTACATAAACGATAATCTCAACAAGGCAGATATCAATGAGAAATGTTGCAATTTTATGACTTTAAAGTACACAGTTGTTAAAGACATCCCGCTGTCTTGGAATTAATTCTACTCCCAAAAATGGCCTGCCGCCCGCATGGAAATAAGTGCCCAAATATGTGACCGGCCAAAGGTATACAAAAAGTATGTCAAAAGTGCCATCAAAGTGTGGCCATTTCAATCTGCTTGTACAGGGTGGTCCACAGACCCCTTCCTTTATTTTGCTTATACTGTACCGGATGCAGGCGTGCGGACGGGTTGCATACTAGCACGGGGCCGTAAGGCGCCGCGGCGAACGACGGTAGGCAAGCCCGCCCGCACGCCTACATGCGGTACGCGGTACAGTATAAGCAAAATAAAGGAAGGGGTCTGTGGACCACCCTGTATACTTTCTGCATACCACCTTTTACAAAAGTACACATAAAAGTGTCATTTCGATATACTTAATTCCATGCGGCCGTAATTAAAAGATGTCAAAATTACTGATACCAACAGTCGACCGTAAATTTAAAGTTCACAATTTAAACTACACTATGAATTCAAAAAATAGATTTTGTTCCTAATTTTTGTTCCAGTTTTAGGAACCAAATACATCCGGTCCGGATGTGCTCAAAAACGTTGCCTCTTAAGGAACCAAATTATTGTCCCTTTTGGAGAGTTTAGGGATAAAGTCTGCCAGTCTAAGGTGCATGTATTGGAGTCGTTTTAAGACACTATTTATTGCATTATTTTACAGTGTGTGGTTACATTCGCTCGAATGGGTGGCTAAAATGAAAGAGAAGAAACCACCCTAGCTCCTTTTTATGCGTGTTATTCTCTTTGAATAGTACAGCGTGACCTCAAAAAATATTCGCAACTGAATCTCTTATCGCGTGCGAGCAGGTAAAAAGTTTGTGACGTCACTCAAAAGTGTGTCAAAATGTTTAAACACGCTTTGTGTAGATTTATGTCAGCACACTTTTTCAGTGTTGGAATGCCGCAGTCACTTTTATTTGAGCGGCTCACGCTGCACGGGGGGAGAGTCGCGTCGCTTTGCTGCCAATCCGAATTCAAAATCACGCCTGCCTGCAGCTCCCTCCCTTCCCCTCCTCCTCCACCTCGGTAGCTGGCTGGTGCCGGCGGCTGCACGGTGACGCCGTGGTCGCCTCTCGTACTCCCGCAAAGGCGGCTTCCGGTGGGAGGGCGAGCGGCGCGTACGACTCACTACTCGAGCCCCCGCCGAATCACAGCTCCGCGCCGCGCCCCGCCCCACCCCGCCGCGCTCACCTTACGCTCGCCCGATTCATTCCATTCCATTTCGCTTTCTTTCGTTTTTCCCCTCACCCCGCACCCGTCTCTCCCCACATGCACACGACTCCCCCTCCTCATCTCTCTCTCCCTCTGTATGTTTGTCTATCCGTCCCTCCCCTCTCTCCCTCCCTCCCCCCCCCCCTCTCTCTCTCTCTCTCTCTCTCTCTCTCTCTCTCTCCCTCTCGGCCTCTCCCGCTCCGGAGACTCTCACGCTGGGCCCAGACACGGAGGCAGAGGTGTGTGAGAGTGTGTGTGTGTGTATGTGTTGTCGCTCCAAGTGTTCAGTTCTAATCCCGCCTCAGACCGCAGCGGTCCGAGAGACGCGACGAGACGCCGGCTCCGTCAGTCAGTCGATAGAGTTCGTGGCGACCGACGCGTTCGAGACATCGATCACACGACGGAGGGCTTTTGCTGCTCTGCTGCCGGCGCGAGCGCTTGGTGCGCTGCAGGTGCGGCAACCTCTGCACGACGCGGAAGCGGGCAAAGGCGCAGCAAGGCGCAGTGCGTACGGACCAACAGTGCGACTGGTGAAAGGCGGTGAGAGAGGCCGGCTGGCCGGCTGTGCCGCTGCACCGCTCGGCGCTCCACGGGATTACAAGCACCAGGTGAGTGCGTCGTATCAGCAGCAGCATCGGGCAGAGCATCTCAGACCGTGAAGTGTAGGCGACCCTGCACACCTTAAACTGACAAACGTGAGAAACACGACACCTGTCGGCGAGCTGCTGCCACGCGCCAAGCGTGAGAGCAGGTTGAGCACGCATGACAAATGTGCGACAAGTCTGCTGCTGTCCAAAGTGTTGACAGTTACTTTTGCGCGTTTACAATTGCACTGCAATGCGTCACACACCTTTCGGCATGTGCTATACACACACTTGTAGCACAACTGCTGACGTGCTACGCACTTGTCACACATCTGCTGGCGCGCTACACACTTGTCGCACGCCTTCTGGCGTGACAAACTCGTCACATGCCTTCTGGCATACTGCGCACTGCTTGTCACACGCCTGCTGACGTGCTACGCACTTGTAACACATCTTCTGGCGTGCAACGCACATGTCACGCACATGCCGCTGCGCACGTGGCGTGGTGCTGGACCGACACCGCGTCGCCGCGCCCAATTGAGACGTGATTGTGACGAAGGAGATTGCGCGAGGATGCGGTAAAAGCCAGCATACTTATCCTCTGTTATTGCGGGGATCTTATAACACTCTTGTGCGGCGGTAAAAGGGCACATGTGTCGCGTGGCTTCATAAAGCCGCAGAAAGAGAGAGAAGGGCGCCAGGGGGAGACGGTGATGACGACAGCGCCGCGCAAATCCCAACTCCATCTTGTCAAACTAAACTGAGCTAGTGATAATTATGCCTCAATGTGATGTATCGAGATAGTCGTTGGCGAATGGTGGTATACCGTTCGAGGAGGCAAAACCTTGATGATGAGTCTAGCGGGGCTAAACAGAAGCTGCTCGGTGGCTTTAATAGTGAGGACCATTATGCTAATTAGCAATGGTGCGACGTGTATTTGTGTGTGTGCGTGCGTGCGTGTGTGTTCAGGTGCGTGCGCTGGTGTGTGCGCGAGTGTTAATGCTATACACGCTATGTGATCATATCGGTTTGCTAATGGCGCCACTCAACGTGTCAAAAGACTTTGGGAGATGGAGAAAACGACATTATCTCTAATTAAACTGCTGATTCGTACGAAAATCATTGTGAAGACAACGTGGAACGCACTTTCCTAAAACGTATTATGGGCATATCAACGTGGGCATATCACTGGCTCCATATATTTATGAACAAAGTGGCATTGAGCTAACATACGCAGTAACAAAACACAAGTCAGTCACCCACAGAAAGAAATGTTCGTGGAAGGAACCGCGAGACTGGCGCGTCAACCACCAATATAGTCTCATATAACTCCCAAAACGAGGTGCATGTGCGTATGGACGCGCCGTACCCGCCGCGCCTTCACACCTCCGTACGAAAACAGGCCGCGCGGAGCCACTCCCGCTGTGCGCAAGTCAGTTCCACTTTAGAAGCAAAAGAATCAACATTTCCCCCCTCCAAGCACCATTATGGCGTGAGCCACAGGCATGAGGCAATAGTGCACCACTAACAAGGGGAACGGAGGGAGAGAGAGAAAGAGATACGTGTGCGTACGCCCGGGCAAAAGCCTCGCCAATAATACACTTAGCGATGGTAATCACTGCTACCATTATTATTACTATCATTGCTGAGGAAGCACATGTCCAGTGGAGCGCAACATTCTTAGCTAACCGGGCAGGCGGGCGGCGGCGGGGTAGGCAGGTCCCTTTCAACAACAGCGAGTAGTGGTTCTGCAACTCCAGCGCCAGGCCAGGCCACCAGAGTGCAGCAGCAGAGCAGCAGCCCGCCAGAGAAACACGTTCAACGGATGCTAGGATATGCAGCTGAAAACAAAACTACCCTAAATTTAATCTAATTGTTTACAATATTTTGAGGCGACTTTTGTC